ATGTCTACCTGAAAATGGGTTCTTGGTGTTGGCTATTATTACAGTTCTTTCTTCTCTTCGTCCTCTCCTAAGACTCTTATGGTTTACTCTTTCGATATTATCTACCTAGTGTTTCGACTTACATCGACGCACAACCTGGATGATATAGCATTTTTTACATGGACCCGCCATTATGTCATCGACAAAATATTAACCAACCTTTTTATTGCTCTTGTGAATTGCTTCGATATTTCTGATTCTACGTATATTACTTTGTTGTTACGAAGAATATGTTCCGAAACTTCTATTTTGTATACGTTACTTTTGTCGTTCCGAAGATTCATTCATATTAGTTTGGTTACGTTCTATCCTTCAGATTAGCTTTGATTTACCAAGATATTTAGTTACTTTTGCTTTGTAGAGAAGTTTTTTAAGTTACCGAGACCTATTCGGAAACCGATATCTATGATTTTTATTTACGTTACTTCTGTCATTACGATGATTTTGTTCGTGTTATCTTATTTACTTTGTAAATTAATTAGATCATTGCTGTTGTATAGACATTTAGTTATTTGTGCATCGTAAAGTAGAAGTTAACGTCCCGTTTATGTTTTTATATTGCTGTGTGCACCGGTCCGTAGGCCAAAAAGACCGTACACAAAACACCTAAACAAACCTAGCTAGCTCAAACCAATCTTCCTCGGAACAAAACTTCTCCGCCGAAGCGAAATAAAAAAATCTTCACTCAACTCCAAAACTGCCCTGACTGGCAACAAAACTGACGATAAAAACTTCACAACTCCAAAACAAACTTCAAACTTCTGCAGACGTGGATCTGCTCTCAACTTGGCAAAAGGCGATTTAAATTTCAAACAAACGTAGTTCTGCGTTAAACGTGGCAAAAAGCCCTTCCTCTTCTCAGTCCGTTCTATTTAAGGTGGAAACCCTTCTTCCAAAATACAAATTAAAACAGTCAATGATAAGCAGTTGACAACAGAAAATTTCCCCCCTAACGCACGTTAAACCAGAGGTAGAAATTATTTTTATAATCAATTTTTAACCGACATTAAGAAATAACACTAAATTAAAATACTAGGGAAAATAGAATTTTCTGTCTTTTAAATACAAAGAAAAGGCGGTAAATAAAATCCACCTTTCAATTAAATTAAGCGTTTACAATGATAACAGAATAAAAGTGATATAAAATTCTCAGAAATCTAAGTTAAATAATTATTAAAGATGAGGTTAAAAATGTACACAAAAACAACCTTGACCTCTTTCTCGTAACAACAATTTCTGTTGAAGTAGGTACTTAACCAACGACACAAAACAAAAATTTAGATTAAGAAAATTAATTACATAAAAAATAGGAAACCGCCCTTGTCCATCCTAGTTATGAATCCCAAAATTTCGTCCTGGAAGACGAAATATCACAGCAATATACAGGGTGGCCCAACGAAAACGAAATGGACTTAAATAACTCTAAAAGAAATGGTTTTGAAACAAACGAAAAAGCACGTCAATTTGGGTTGGAAGGGAGACATCTTTCACTTTAAAATTTACACCCCTGCAGTCAACCCCCTTAGCAAAGTTGGGTCGAGTGACACATCATTGGAAAGGGCTCTTAATTATGTCAAATTCGAGCGACTATTTTGAAACATACACTTGACTGTATGTCAAACTATGTAATACAAGTACGTATGGTTCACTGAAATAAAATCAGTATTTTACCATCAGTATACCTAAAAACCATATGGCAAAAAACCATTCGACTAAATTCTATTGCGTTTTCCATCTTCGTGAGAATTTTGAGACATCCGACGGCTATCCACATTCTATTCGATCTAGGTGAACCTGAGAAGTATCCATTTCACAGAGGAAACCGATTCATTTTTCTATACGACGGCGTTCACGGACTTAAAGAAATATCGGAAAGGTATTGTTCAATTTTCAGTTTCTTATTATAAAGATTAAATTGTTTGGTTTGGATCCGTTTAATAAATCACACGAAAAAAAATTTCATTTATGCCAAATAGGAATTAGAATTTTACGTGCTTATTAAATGGACCCAATCGCCTTTTTCTCCCCGCCAATAAATTTTACGTTGAAATGGTAATAATAAGAGTAGTTTGTAATTATATCCCGATATTTAAAATGAACGGTTTTTGTAGAAAGGGAAACGAAATGAAAATTTATCAGGGAGGTTAAATTAACTTTGACGGTGGGCCAAATCGCTATGTTTAATACCTAATCTAGTTCCATTTTGACCTTTGATTTAGTAGGTATTCCATTTTATTCAGATTCGTTAGGCAAGAAGCAAATTAACTTTTCTGCAATCATTATTATTTTGTATCTCTAACAACATAGACGAACTGAGTAGAGAGTAGAGGAAATTCTTGTAGACTGTATCAGAATCTGTTGATTTTTCATGAAATGTAGGTATTATATGGGTGTAAACAAGGGTAAAAAAACGCATGTTTGATCGAATATAGATACTTTTCGACAAGTTTAGACGGATGAATTCGCCGTTTTCTTATAAAACATCAGATGATTTATGTATTGTCATGACCTATAAATCCGTAAAAGAAAAGGGTGGTTTCTGTACTTTTTATTTGAATGGCGCTATATTTTGTCACGTATAAAGCGAATGTTTGATCCTGAAACTATCGGCAATAAAATGCCGGCAATTTATGATTCAGAATTCCAGGGGATATTTACTTAACTTTCAAGACCCTTTATTAAGCAAATAAAAGGTTTCGCTAGGGTTTAGTCCCTACTTCCTATGCGGAAGTGAAGAAAATGATGAATATGCATTCTTGTAGCAGGAGGAGAGCGAGCGCTCGGCACGTAGGTGGTAGAAGCGCCTGTGAATTGGCAACACACCTTACACACACCCTCTCACAGTTCTTAGATCTGCATAAAACATAAGTGACAAAATCAAAAGCGTAACAGAGGTTCAAACAAGATTTCAACCCTCCACTCCATTCATATTAAATCATAGAAATTGAAATGGGTTTGAGAGTGGACGTCAGTATTACAGTAACCGGATATGTTTACCAGGAAGCTGGGAGTCCCTAAACATGAATAACAATATCAGTTCGAAGCTACTAGATCATCTTATCTGAAAATGATCGGGCGACATGTGCATCTCTAATGGCAAATCGCCACTTCTCGTATTTAAATAAAATTTAAATCTTTATTTCATCCCCTTCTTTACTACATGCATAATTAATTTGTTCTTTTACATTCGTAACAGTTGTGCATTTAGGGCATTTAATGATAACATCTAAAAACTCCGAAAGGGTATTTAAATGATACTATATCGGATTTGGTTACGCGGACGACAGGATAAAAAACGTTATAAAAAAGACGATTTGTGCAAAAACACGAAAACGAGACAAATTACTAATAAAAGCGTCCTCTGTGATATTTTATTGGTAGTAAGTTAGGGCACATTATGTTACCCTTGATGTTTGCAACCCCAATCTCATGGGGTGTGCTAATACACAGCTAATAACGTAGCGTTAACACTTCCGGTCCACTGAGTCTGAACTTGTGCGGGGGAACTTCAATAATATCGATACACTACACTGAACCTAATGTAAACCCATTACCAAAAATTATTCTTTTAATGCGACATAATTCTACTCGGCGGGTGAAAAGATTTCATATTCGCGAATTTCCCTTATAATTACCACCGTTAGGAGAAGGATGCCTTTGTATAATGAATACATAAACAAATTTAAATTTTGTATTTGTTGAATCATAAATAAATAACGAATAATTAAATAGGTATCTAAAGGATTTTTCAATCAAAAGTTATAGACTAGAAAAGAATTCAAAGGGCTGTAACTTTTGAACTAGTAGCCCAATCTTGGAACTGTTTGAAATTATGGATTCTACTGGCCACATTCTATAAGAAAATTTCCCGGTCGATCTGAGACAATTTTTTTTCGGGCCTCAAAAAAAGGCAGTGTGTAACCTTCCTTTTTTTACCAAAAATCGACTGCACCAAAATTTCTCGGGAAAACATTTTTTCTTATTAATTTGGGTGCGTATAATCCAAATCAATTTGTACTTTTTCGATCAGACTTCTCAATAAAAAGTTATAGACTAGAAACTAGGGCATGCAATACCGGGATTGCGGGATCCCGAAATACCGGGATCCCGCAGCATTTTTGCGAGCACATAAATGGAGCGGGATCCCGCGGGATTTGCGGGACTGAGGAATTTGTCGACCAAGGGGACGACTCTGTTTACTTTGTTAATGAAACTGATAACGGCGAATTATTTTTTAAATAATTGTTAAACTTTTTTCGTTAAAAATGTACTATGATTGTTGAGGCACTTTAGAAGACTTTTTGTGCTTTACAGGTAAGGTTTTTTTGAGCTCTAAGTTAAGCCGAAGGTACTTTTTTGTTAAATATTGTGATAATTAGCGATTTATTTTAATACAGAAGTTAACCGCACAGAATCGATTGTATTCCCTAGTCCGCACTGTTAAAAGCGCCTTAAAAATAGGCAAACCACGTAAAATACCCTAAATAAATTCTCCCTGGGTATTTCCCTTCAACCTTCCTAGATGTAAGAAAATACAAAACAAACCCTGGAATACATTTTTGACCCATTTTATGGGCAGGTATTGAAATTCTACCTTGCGCTTAAGAAACCCACTATAGCAAGTGCCGTTCGGGGTTGCGGGGGTGGCGGCATAGCTGAAATTGAACCTTAGGGTGTCTAGAACATCCTCTGAAAGTTTCATAAAGTTATCACAAAATGCAAGGTTGAAACCTATTTTGGCTCTTAACCCCTGCACTATACGTAGGAAACCTGTTTAGATTCCACGCGTTTTCTTGCAATTAAATAAATCAAAATACGCTCAGGGACCAAAAATTTTGGAAGGGGGTACGGGAGTTGACCACTACCACTTTGGAACGAAGTACAACGGGTGCGCCAAACACTTCCACCTCCATTGATTTTTCTTAATTTTTTCCTCCATTGCTTTTGCTCAATTTTTTTAGAGATACCACAGTTCGATTGTCAACGTTCGTCTGGAGATGGAGGCCATCGACTGATCGTGAAGCCGTCCGATACGTAACACCCTCTAGCCTTCGGAAAAGGTTACAACGTTGTCATATGGGGTTGCTAATTCAAAATCGAGCCAGCCAACGCCACTTTGAAACAGAAATCAGAATACATGGATGCTTCAAATACTTCCAACCCCATTGAGACTGAAGAATTTTTTAGTCAACTCTCTTCGGTTGTCAATCATTCTTTGGAGACGAAGGCCCTCGAACGGTCACCATGCTGGCCAATATCACTTTAGAGCGGAGTATACGGGTAAGTCAAATACTTTCACCTCAATTGCTTCTGATGTATTTTTTTAAGGGTCTACTCACTTCGTTTGTCAACGATTTTTCATTGATATCGTCGTCCACAACGAGATTCCGTTATGGCCGAATAAATACAGTTCTGACGGTGAGTACATAATATATTAATAAAGACTGTATAAATTACAAACAGTATGAATTACAATTTACAATGTAGGAGCATGTAACAATATAAATTATTGTTGTTCTAGGGTCCACTTCTGTATGGCACCGAGGAAGGAGCGGACCCACCGACGGCTCGTGACGAGGGAATTCCACCGAAAACCACCTGTCCCGACCTGCATCAGCTCGCTACCACCGTCGTCGGAAAAGTGTCCACCGTCGCCGACGTGGAACCTAATCCGAGTGGCCGCCCGATCCGTATGCCCAAATCATCCCTGCTCAAGTGCCCGTAAACGATCCACGCCGATTCGCCGTACGCACGCCATATCAACAGGCGCATACGAAATGTTTATTCATATTGTAAATACTATCTAAATAAATATCGTCATTAGTTATACAACCTTTATGGACACGCAACAATCACGGGGAGAAGTTCAATCGGTGACCCCTCCGCACGTCGCCCATATTATCAAAAAATTGAAAATTCAAAAGAGGCCTATAAAAGAAATTCAAAAAATCCAAAAGAATAAAAAAATTCAAAAAAGTTGCGAGGAGTGATTCAAAAAAGTCTAAGAGTGATTCAAAAAAGTCTAAGAGTGATTCAAAAAAGTCTAAGAGTGATTCAAAAAAGTCTAAGAGTGATTAAAAAAGTCTAAGAGTGATTCAAAAAGTCTAAGAGTGATTCAAAAAAGTCTAAGAGTGATTCAAAAAAGTCTAAGAGTGATTCAAAAAAGTCTAAGAGTGATTCAAAAAAGTCTAAGAGTGATTCAAAAAAGTCTGAGTGATTCAAAAAAGTCTAAGAGTGATCCAAAAAGTCTAAGAGTGATTCAAAAAAGTCTAAGAGTGATTCAAAAAAGTCTAAGAGTGATTCAAAAAGTCTAAGAGTGATTCAAAAAAGTCTAAGAGTGATTCAAAAAAGTCTAAGAGTGATTCAAAAAAGTCTAAGAGTGATTCAAAAAAGTCTAAGAGTGATTCAAAAAAGTCTAAGATGATTCAAAAAAGTCTAAGAGTGATTCAAAAAAGTCTAAGAGTGATTCAAAAAAGTCTAAGTCGAGTCTAAGAGTGATTCAAAAAAGTCTAAGAGTGATTCAAAAAAGTCTCAAAAGAGTGATTCAAAAAAGTCTAAGAGTGATTCAAAAAAGTCTAAGAGTGATTAAAAAAGTCTAAGAGTGATTCAAAAAGTCTAAGAGTGATTCAAAAAAGTCTAAGAGTGATTCAAAAAAGTCTAAGAGTGATTCAAAAAAGTCTAAGAGTGATTCAAAAAAGTCTAAGAGTGATTCAAAAAAGTCTGAGTGATTCAAAAAAGTCTAAGAGTGATTCAAAAAAGTCTAAGAGTGATTCAAACAGTCTAAGAGTGATTAAAAAAAGTCTAAGAGTGATTCAAAAAAGTCTAAGAGTGATTCAAAAAAGTCTAAGAGTGATTCAAAAAAGTCTAAGAGTGATTAAAAAAACTCTAAGAGTGATTCAAAAAAGTCTAAGAGTAAGAGTTGATACTTGGTACTTGATACGATCTGAGATAATTTTTTCTTCGGGGCTCAAAAAAAGGCAGTGTATTACCTTCCTTTTTTACCAAAATCGACTACACCAACATTTCTGGGGAAAACACTTTTTCTTATTAATTTGGGTGCGTAGAATCCAAATCAATTTGTTCTCCTACCTTCTACATTTTGATGACAATGCGAGCGTACTCACTCGCATAGCTGCTCTGTGTGAAGCCGAAGAATATCAATTGGTCTGACAGCAGTTGGAACCAATTATGGATTTGTTGACGCAATGCGGCGACTAGATTTTCTGAAAGGAGAAATCCAGTTAAAATCGGTTACATATAAGTACCCAGAGGTATTGTGATAAGGTGGGCAAGTAAGTAAGTGTGAATAAATAAACCGCATAACAAATGATGAAAGTACCTAATGGAGAAGCAAAAGCAAAGGAAATTTAAGCAAATTAAACGGCATAGCTCTGTAATTCTACCTCGTGGAAGGGTACCAATTTGAACTGGTACGTATCTTTAAAGGGTTGAATATTCCTTCAGGTTTGTGATGTAAATTCTTCTTGCAATTTCTTCTTCGTCTTTTCTTTGTTGTAGTACTTCTGGAACTTTTTGTACTTTACCTGTCAGAAGTTTGGAATACTTCGTAATGGCCATCTCTTTTCCTAGCTCGAAATAGATCACCGGTTTGAAATTGAATTTTCTTCAAACACCCATTAATTTTGATTTCACCTTGGCAAAATCAAATCACTACATCAAAAGCCTTCATTTTTGCTTTGGAAATCTTTTTATAACTTCTGCAGTAGTGGTCCAATCTAAAATTTCGTTTCGGATTTTACATCAGGCCAAAATCTATACGAAAAAGTTCCCGGTCGATATCGAACTAGTTTTTTGGTTAAATACAAACACCTTGTATCTAGAAATTGGATCGAAAAAACGACATGCCTTAAATCGACAGGGGAAAAACTTTTGGCCTGTAGAATCCACAACGTTCACGTCCATGTAAAAATTAATCCACGTTTAGATACCTGGGATGTCAGCGAAATTTTTCGTTCCTGATTCATACCAGGGCCGTAGCCAGAATGAACGAGCAGGGGTGGCCGGTATTTTTGTAGGTGGGGCTTAAGAAGTTTTTGATAAAAATTTTCCCTATAATTTTTGTAAAGGAACCATCAACCGTAATTTCCAGTGGAGGCAAGACCATGTTCGAGCCCTACCTGGCCACCCCCTGGCTACGGGCCTGATTCATACCCATCACCGTGGAGTGATTAAGTAGCTTAGGTACCTAATTGAATAATGAACTAATGGACTATAACATAAACGCCACTTACGAGATCAACAATCCATCAAAGGAAATTTGGATTTGACTCCACCATCAGGAAGATCGTGTCGGGGGCTACCACTTTCCCTTTGACGATATCCACTTACGATGTCCCGTTCCCTTCCAATGCGCGTTTGAAGATTTGACTCCACCATTAGGAAGATCGTGTCAGGGGCTACCATATTCCCTTTGTCGGTACCCATTTCAGACTTCCCGTTCATCCGCAATTTGCGTTTGAAGATTTGACTCCACCATCAGGAAGATCGTGTCGGGGGCTACCACATTCCCTTTGTCGGTATCCACTTCCGATGTCCCGTTCGCTTCCAATGCGTGTTTGAAGATTTGACTCCACCATTGGGAAGATCGTTTCGGGGGCTACCATATTCCCTTTGGTAGTATCCACTTCCGATGTCCCGTTCCCTTCCAATGCGCGTTTGAAGATTTGACTCTACCATCAGTAAAATTTTGTCGGGGGCTACCACATTTCCTTTTTCGGTGCCTACTTATATTACACCCACATTTTGGTGGATTTCGCTAAAAACCTTCCACAAGATAGTACTTAATTTTTGGGGCACTTCTCATTGCTCGAGCTTCTATAATTGGCGACACGAGAAAGAGAGATAGCGCTTCGAGATTTACGAAACGTTAAACCGCGTGACAAAATTCGCAACGGAAGCTAAAAGGTGCCCAAAGTTGACTACCTCTCGAAGACGCGCGCCTTGCAAAAGGTCGTTAATTTCGCCCCTAGGACAAAAACCAAAATTCCGACACGCAGGAGTTGTGCGCGTTTACAACATCTTTCCGACGACACCAATTTGAAAAGAATCGGACCACTACTGTAGTAGAAGATAGGAAAAAACTGAAAAAGATAGAATGATAGGGCATAGAGGCTTAGATACATAGATTAAATAGTTAGGGGCGTAGGCAAGGGTGGTTATATAGAAGTGAAAAGATTGGCGCAGGATAGGAAATGTGGAAGGACTCCGTTCAACCATTACTAGGATTGTGGATTCCAAGAAGCCTACAAATTAGGTCGAATAAAGGAATTCTCTGAAATCGACCCGGAAAAGATTTATTCTTATACATTTTATCCCGTACATACGAAAACTGCTTATATTTTCATACGACTTGATACAGGCGTAATAACATCCCTTTTAGGTACTTGCCAACCTCTATGACACGGATAGCTGTACAAGGAACAATTTTTCCGACCCAAATTATAGGCAAATATATATGGAGAAAAGCTAGATCTTGATAAAATAGAATTTCAATTAGATATCATGCCGTAGTTTTAAAGATTCCTCAAACTTTTTTGATGAAAAATGACTCCAAAGACTAGCAATTTACCCAGTGGAAGAATTCCAAGGTTCCACCACCAGATTTCTAGTTCTGGTTTCCATTGTAGAACTGTACACACTTAGTTGCCGATTGCATTACAAACAATTGCTACAGTGATTCAAAAACATTTGAAAATCGAAAGTTTTTTAACAATGAAATCATGTATGCATTTAAGAGTGTACCTGTTATGTATTATGTGGTAAATAAATAATGTGGTCTTGCGGTATACCCAAAATTTACTTTGAGTAGATTTATGAAATTAGAATGCGCGAAATTTGTATGTACTACCAAGATCCAAATCGATACGTTACCCGAATTATATCTTCAAATCACTAAATACTGTCAAGTGCAAGTAAAGCGTCGTCTGCTTTATTTATATTTATCTTTCTCAACTCAAAAATCTAATTATTCAGTTTATTTAATATACGTAGAATGTATGACGTACCTTATCTGCAACAGCTGATGTACCTACCTCCAACTGTGACGTCACAGGAAAATGCGGGTTCGGGTTTCCACAATTTACGGAGAAGTATAAGGACAACAAAGACAGGATTATGACGACAAAAATGTCCTTGCAATCTTACACAGCGATCTGTAAACGGCAACTGCTTCACAAATACTGGAGTTTTAACGAAAGCTATACGTACATGTCTCCTTATACATCAAGTGGAGAGTAGATCAGCGCATTCTTCCACCTACACTGCTCGGTTGGCGTTGAAAATTGTTTCTAAGTCCTTGATCAATCGATGTGTATAGAAAATGCAACGGACGTTACAAACTTTCCATTTCTCCTACTTCTCTTGGTAATTAAATGGAGTGTGGTTCTTGTTGTGCAATTATATTAAGATTAAGACTCCTCTTCTGGCCTCAATGATAAGGGGTAAGGAATGAAGAAAATGTCAATACACGTTATTAAAATTTGGATTGGTTATTTTTCTTAAAATATCCCCTTTGCTGTAAGAGATCAAATTTTAATAAACGGGGTTGAGTGTATTTACGGTGGTAACGGGTTGAGTTTAAAGTTATGGATCCTACACGCCCAAATCTATGAGAAAATGTTTTTTTCCCGGTCGATATCATACAATTTTTTTTCCGACCCAAAATATAGGTAAGAGCCTTATTTGCATTTTACCGAAAATCGACTACCCCAAAAATGTTCGGGAA